TCTCCAATGGTCATTGGAAGATGCATGCGGACATCTCTCTGGCTGATGATAGCCTTCTTTTGGAGGTCCTCATTGTCACGTAGGATACCCGGAATTGGGGTGTCTTTTTTCAGGAGGTCTTGGATGCCCTTTCGGACCACCCTGTGTACCGGTCGACCGAGTTGGGCAAATGCATTGAGAGTAGGCTGTGAGAAAGTCTCGACAAGCTTGACTATTTCGATCTCGAGTCCATAAAATGTTGTCTTGAGGTTGTCCGAGTCGACGTTAGATGCGAGAACCTTGAGGTCCAAGACCGAGCTTCCAATAGCTACAGCAACGCGGGGAGTGGGGTCATCTCGGGTGGTTATAATGCCGAAGGGGATGTTGGCCAGCGAGAACTCGCTCGCTGGGTCATAATTTGGTATCCACGATTCCGTTGCCATCTTGATGTCGCTTTTTTTTTTGACTGATCAATGGAAATCTTTTGCATGAGACCTTCATGAAGGGATCTTTTTAGATATGTGTCTCGGTGGTTCGGGAGGTAATTAGTGAGCCGGCGCGGGGGCTCGTCCGCCCCGACGGAAACCGCTACCCCACCTTCTGCCATGCTCTGGAGTCCTCGACAGCATCATCAACGGTCTTTGGTCGAGAATCCTTCAAGACTCATCATGTTTGGTACACCCGAATGAGGCCTGGGTAGATATTCAGTAATTGAGAATTAACTCGCTGAAACGTTGAGATACAAGGCTGCCTGCCGCGTATGCAGAAGAGGCCCTAAAAATCCCGAGTGCCTTGGAAAACATTATTCCCCACCGAATGTCCTCAAAGCATGATACCACAAAACTCGCTGAACTTCTCGACTTGCACCCCGTCCTTCTCTCTCGCAGCTCTTCTCGCCGCATCTTTGGCATCGCTGATGAACCTGGACTCCCTGGCATCTTGAGATTTGATTAACCAGAAGGACACCTCGCACCCTTTCTCCCGCAGCTTCTCAATGCAACTCTAACGCTCCTCCCACAGGTCCCGATTTGCGATGAGTTTACCGCGGCCCTTTGCGCCCCTTACGCCCCTTGCGCGTTTCTTCCATCTACGCTTCACCCAGACCGGCAGCCATTTTGTCGCTCCCAGGGCAACGTACTCGAGATTGGTCAGAATAACAACCCTGTGACATCCCTCCCCAGCCCAGGGCCGGAACTGCAGAGCAGCAATGGCTGCCCGCAGCTTTGCTCTGTTTGAAGTGTGATCCACCACGTCACCTGTCGGGCCCTCTTGCTCAAGTGGAAACGCAACAATCGCGCCGGCGTCGTTGGTTACCCCGGTTGTAGAAGGGAACGGGAACGTGACAACAGGTTTGGCTGAAGCACAGGCCGGGTCCTTGGAGACGAACGACGAACCGCCCTCCGGGGCGACTTCTTTGTTCCCGTTGTTAAGACAGCTCCCGTCGACAATTAGGAGCATCTCAGGACTGTTGAAGTGGTTGATGAATCGAGGAAATTGGCGGTCCTGACCGCGGCCGGCTCCGACAGTTTGGAGGGGGAACTGCTCCTCTGGGGTCAATGAGGGGCCTTGAGGCGTGTAGGTAGTGGCTGGTTGGCCTGCGGCTCTGCGACCGAGTGTTTTCGCACGGTCATGGTAATATGGAGGGAGTACTATGATGCTTGGTGCTTCCAAAAAGTTTTAATTGCTGAAAACTGCCGGAGAATGAAAGACCTTGTGAGTTGAACAGACGAAGGGAGGACTCAATCAGCCGACAGTCCCAGCGGGAAATGGCCTAAAATACTTCATCCCGCCACTCGGGCGTTCAGGTTCCCTAGATGACCCAATTGAGTTTGCAGCAGCTCATGGCTGCATGCGCATGCAGCTGTGGTGATAACAGATAACTCGAGGGAATAACTGTGAGAGGTTGAGCCAAGTTGAGTGAAGGCGATCCATGAGCCTATCAAGCATACGTAGCACCGTCAGTCTGTGCTGTCGACACTGCAGCTGGGGACTGCGGTTGAACAGGGGGCTGCCCACCATTGCCGTTGCCCCGCTGCTCCTCGATCCCAACATCAACGTTAATTAAATTACCCCAGAACCCCTCAATCGTCACGGTCATCTTGATGATCCTCAATTCGTCTTCTCGGCCAACTGAACGGATCCAACAGACGAAACGGACCACTGCCGGGACTGTCAAGCACCAACTCGGGGTTCTCGGTCCCCTTTGTCACCAGGATTAGGCCTCGTTCCTTGCTCAACCATACAGGGGCATCTTTTGGTTCTCGAAAAATTACCCCTTTTCGGACTAACACCGTGAGATCACAATATGCGGGGTTCGATAGTCCCTTAATTCGGCTGGTCGCACACGACCCAGGATGCAACTCTACCGACATGTTGGTCCGGGATATTGGAACACCTTGAACCAACCGACATCCGATTTTATATGACCCATTAGCATATATAAACACACAATGTTTCCTCCATGTCGGTAAGTGATTGCTTTTGTGCGTCCTGTCAGCACTGGAAGTCACCATGGTGTTTCTGAGTATTCCTCTTGTGTGTCTTGCGGCCACTGCCGTCCAGGCCGCCGTGCCGAACGCCAACATCAAACGCCAAGTCACTCAGCTTCGTAGCAGCTACGACTTTATTATTGCTGGAGGAGGGACTTCAGGATTGACCGTAGCTGACCGTCTCACAGAAACGTTCCCTCAGAAAACCGTTCTCGTCATCGAGTATGGAGACATCGAGTACGCACCTGGAGTTTTTGACCCGCCCGCCACTGTTTGGGGTGGTGCTGGTCTCCTGGCCAGCTTCTTTCTGTTCTGGTCTCTGCCAAACCCAGAGGTGAAGAACAAGACTGGAATTGTCTTTGCCGGCAAAGCACTGGGCGGAAGCAGTGCCATCAATGGTCAATTCTTCGACCGTGGTTCTCGTCACGACCACGATGCTTGGAATGAACTTGCTGCCGCTGGGCCACACTCTGAAGAACGATGGGACTGGAATGGAATATTTCCATACTTTAAAAAGGTAAGTGTATCTCAGAAACAACTCGGGCCCGTTCAGACATCAGTTACTCTAACAAACCCCCAGAGCGTCACGTTTACTCCACCGCCGCCTTCTGTTGTGCAGGAACGCGGCTACACCTGGGATGTGTCCGCTTATGGAGGCACAACTCCCATCTACTCATCCTTCCCGCCTTTCCAATGGGGCGACCATGAACTATTGAGAGACGCCTGGAGGGATCTGGGCATCAAAGAGCCCATAGAGTGCAATGGAGGCAACAAGGACGGCCTCTGCTGGATCCCGTTGTCATCTCACCCTGTCACTTTCAGACGATCACATGCCGGGCTGGGACATTACGAAGCTGTCAAAGCGACCAGACCAAACTACGACCTTATCGTCAAGCATCAGGTCGTAAGAGTCATCTACCCGAACGGAAACCCCAATAATGGCCCGCCTCTTGTCGAGGTCAAATCCCTCGCTGACAGTCAGCTCTTCAACGTGAGCGCCACCGGCGAAGTCATTCTCTCAGCTGGCGCTTTCCACACCCCAACTATCCTGCAAAGGAGCGGACTCGGGCCAGCCAACTTCCTCAACTCTGCAGGCATCCCACTGGTTAAAGCTCTCCCCGGTGTAGGCTCAAACTTCCAAGACCACTCCGGTCCCGAGGTCGCATGGAATTGTCAGTGACTCCCCATTCCATCCCATACCCCTTTCGAGATCCAAGAACTTCACTAACCGCCCACGACAGATACAAACCCCGGAAGCCTCTCCCCCTCACCCTCAGAAATGTCCAACCCAGCTGTCGCCGCCGAAGCCCTCGCAGCGTTCAACGAAACCCCGGCCGGCGGCCCTTACACCCTCGCCATGTCCAACTCGGCAATCTTCCAGTCCCTCCCCAACATAACCTCGAACTACCAAACCATCGTCGACAAAATCCGCGCCCAAGCAGCCTCAAGCAACTCGGCAACCGCAAACTTCCTCCCCCCAGATTACCGCACAGACCCAAGCATGATCCTCGGCTACAAAAAACAACTCTCAATCCTAGCCGACCTCCACGCAAACGCCCAACTCCCCAGCCTCGAAACCCCATTTGCCACGGGAACCTCGATGAGAGCAATCAACCTCCACCCCCTAAGCCGCGGAACAGTCCGTCTCAATACCAGCGACCTCCTTGCTCAACCGATCCTAGATTACCGCACCGGTTCCAACCCGGTGGATTTTGACATCTACGTCGCCCACCTCATCTACCTGCGCAAGCTGGTAAACACCACCACTCTCCAACAGCTCGGTGCAGTGGAGACCACCCCCGGTCCTGCTGCGACCGATCTGGTGGAGGCAGTGAAGGACTCTATGACTTTTTCGTTTATGCATCCCTGCTGCACGGCCGCCATGATGCCTGAGGGCGAGGGCGGTGTGGTAGGGACTGATTTGAGGGTGCACGGGACTGAGGGGTTGAGGGTTGTGGATATGAGCGTGTTGCCTATTTTGCCGAGCGCGCATTTGAGTGCTACTGCTTATGCTGTTGGGGAGAAGGTGAGCTTTTTTCCCCTTGCTTTTTTGTCTATTTTTTTTTTATTATTATTTTTTTTTTTTGCTCTCCCTCTTCCCTCAAGTGTGTTGAAGGAGTTTTGGGTGTAGTAGAAAATGTGCTAATATGTTGGTTCCATAGGCTGCGGATATTATCATCAAGGAATGGACTGGATCAGGCAAAGGAAAGGGCAAGGGAAAGGGAAAAGGAAAGAGTAGGCGGTGATTGTTTGTTTGTCATCATGGGCGGTAGGGGACGTAGTTGAAACATAGGGAAGTAGGAAGTAACATGTATTCTGTTCCTCAATATACAAGTAACCGATTGAGGAAAACGTGGGGAAAAAATGACCTACAGTAGTAGTACCTGTTGATTACTCCCAACTAAATTTGTTTGGATGACAACACCAATCGTACCCATTCTTGATCAATGTGTCAGAAAAGCCAAAGAAAAAAAAAGAAAAAAAAGAAAAAAACAGAAGAAAAAAAGAAAACGTAAAAAAAAATCATCCAAGGGGCTCAATCGGGGATCGAACCCGAGACCTCGCACATTCTTTATATAAACTCACTGTTTCCAGGAGTTGGAGTTTGTGATAAACCCCGAAGCACGAATCATACCACTAGACCATTGAGCCTACCTTCTGACAATTTTTTTTTTTTTGTTGTTGAAGTTCGGAGCCGGGTAAAGTGGCTTATGGTCGGTCAGACCTGGCGTTGTTGGGTCGGGTGTGGTGGAATGTGGAGTGTGGAGTCTTTGTCAGCTGAACAGCTGCTGGGCCGTCACGGCCGTCAGTGGTGTGAGTCAACCGGGGTGGAAGAGTCGGCCAAGATCCCACCAGAGGATGATGCGGTGGATCGGGTTGAGAACCTGTCTGGAAAGTAAGGTTGATTCAGGGGAAGTATGGTTTGGATGAAGATTGGAAAAGTTTGAAACAATCACGATGATGGTTTCTTGGGGTTGGGGATGGTGGATGCCTGTCCCGCTTCAACGGCTGATGCCAAAGGCATCAACGCAAAACATGGGAACAATATTTTCAAACCAAAGAAAATTGTAAATTATGACAAAACCGATAATAAAAGAATGCTAAAGGGGGTATTGATGATATCAACGTTTTAACACATCCCATCTCTGCCCATAACAATCCTCCCCCAGGCCAGCCTTTGTTCCCCGTGGAAAAGTCATTTCCATTCCACCTCCCAAAACCAAACAAATGAAGCCGCGAAACAATTAAAAAAAAAAAAAAAAAAAAAAAAAAAACGATCGACAATAAAATGGTATCATACAATTGACAAAACCCTTTTTCCATATCTCATATTCCTTCCTTCCTTCACCTGCCGTGATCCTAAGCCTTGCTCTCAACGCCATTTTGCCCTTCCTCGCCAGTAATTCCATTCTGCTCCGGTTTCCCCTCCGCTTTGACGGCACTTCCACTACTCCCGAGGAACAAATCCCTAAACGCAGCATTGCTTTTCTTTGGCACAACGGTGGTGCTAGGTGCTGTTGGTGCCGGTGCGATCCCATTGACTTCCTTCTTTGGAGCTACGCCACCAACGAACCCTAGCCCTCTCTTACCACCCCCCAAAACCTTTGGACGCTGGACCCTGGGTGGAGGAGGCATCAACTCTGCGGCTGTCGGCTTCTTCTTTTGAGCAGGCAAAGGGACGCGATCTATACGCTCGAGCTCGGGTCTCTTTTCTGCCTTGGCCTTGAACAGTTCCGACACGTTATCGACGGCACGCAGCTTCTGGCCGCTGTCGTCGTCAAGCTCCATACCGTTGATGGTCAACAAGGCTTTGCCTGCTGTGGGGGCGTCTGGGTACTCAACAACAGCTCCACCATGTTGAGGATGGAGGGTGAGCTTGAGTAGGTGTCCAGTCGGGGCCAAGACGGATTCGACGCGCTCGGCCGTCATGGTGTCGGGGATTCCAAGGACGGCAATGGTTCGGGCAGCGACTTGGGCTCGTGAAGGTCCAGATGAGGTCGGCTGGGAAGATGATTCCACTGGTGAATCTGCAGCTGGCGATCCCTCTGTGCCATCAAGGGCTCGAGCGGTGGCTGTTTTCACCGTGTGCGCCTTTGCCAGCTCCACCTTTATCGGGTTCATGCCAAAGATAAGCTTGTCAAGCGTCTTGATGGCTTCCTGGGCCTGTTCCGTGGTCTCCATGATGACAAACCCGGAGCCCTTGCTCTTCCCGTTCTTGTCGTGCAGTATGCGGACGCTGTCAACTGCGCCTGCCTTCTCGAACAAGCCTGCCACCTCCTCCTCCGTCATGCTCCGAGGCAGATTACCGACATGGAGTTCACGGCCTTCTGCCAGTGCCCCTGAACGGGATTTCTTCTGTGATGGGTCCGAGATCTGAACGCTGAGAGTGTACTTGCCGCCCTTGAGTGGCCTGCCGTGAAGCTGAAGAGCCGCAGCGGCTGAGGCCTGCTCGCGAAAGACAATGTAGCAGAAGCGACGCTTGGTGTTGTGCTTGAGACTCGGAAGACGGATGTCGTGGATTTCCCCAAACTCCTTGAACAAGTCGCGAATGTATTTCTCGTCGGCATCGGGTGGGTAGTTGGTAACATACAGCGTGCAGTCGACGGCCGGGGTAACCCGTACTACCTGGTCACCGAAGTACTTGCCATCCCGCAGCAACGCTGTCCGCGCGTCATCCGCAGAACCAAACTCTACCAAGGCCACCACCGAGTTGTCGCGTTTCTTCAAGTCGATGCTGACGAGCTGGCCGTACTCGCGGAAGAAATGCTCAATCTTCTTCTTGTTGACGTCTGTAGGTAAGTTCCAAAGGAAAATCGAGGTGTGCTCTCTGTCTCGCTTCGGTTCGACACCGTTGGTCTCGCTTTTTGCTCGCTTGTTGCCACCGTCATCGCTCGGTGTAGCTTCGCGCTTTCGTTTTGACGGTGGTGACCCTCCGTCGGTCGCATCGTCCATGGTGACATCTTGATCAACCTTGGAAGCAGCTCCGGCAGCATATGCTGCTTGGTGAGACGCTTCTGCTTGCGCTTGAGCCCTTTGCGCTGCCTCTCGCCCCTCTCGTTCTCGTCGCTTCGATACTCCCTTGCGTGTCTTGAAAATGGTGTCGTGAGCCTCACGTAGGGTCTCGGCCGTCTCGTAGTCGTTGCAATGTTTCTCGAAGATCTCCATGACACGCTCAGGCCAATCCATATTCCGCTCTTTGAGGGCTTTGACAAACACGCGGGTGGCGAAATTGGGAACTCGGAGGCCCTGGGCCAGCGTCACTGGGGTCGGGCTTCGCACCTTGTGCCTACTTGCAGTAAAAACGACCATCTCCCACATATACCAGTTCAGCCAGAAATCGTAGCTGTTTCTGTGCAGGGGAACCTGTGATAGTTCCTCCCACACCTTCCGGGCGCCAGCGATATCATCCTTCTTTTCGGTGAGAAACTGAATAAGAATCTTTTCGAGACGATAGTTGGGGTCGCCCTGGTATGTATCGCGGTACTGGCGGTTGCCCCAGTGCTTGACATCATCGAGCGCTGTTGCAAGACCTGCATCGGCAATGTCGACTGCCTCCTCGGTGGCATTGGGGTTCATGGCAGTCCGCTTCAAGTAGCCACACCAAGCAGAATACATGTCAAAGACACCCTCCATGCCATGCTTGTCCAGTTGGTCACTGTTAGTAGCAGCATGCTTGATGCTTTCAACCGAGCTGAAGGGCAGCCCGGCTTCCTCAGCAGCGAAGATGTATCGTGCCCAGACGGGGCCGGACCACGGGATGTGGCGGACGGCGCGTTGCAAAACATCAAGCATCTTTGGGACGAAAGCCTCGGGGACCTTTGAGGTTCCTGCTTTGAGGTCTGTATGTGTTGTGGAAACTAGGGTAATGTAGTTGCCCCAGGTAGCATCGTCTGAGGCCATTATTCCAGTGAGCGCCCGAGAAAATAGGCCAAGACAGATCTGAAAGTTAATGATGATGTCCCGCCTTGCCTTGTTGTTCTTGTGCTGCATGATCTCCCAGTCCAGATAGTCACCCATCACTCGGCGCATCGAGTCGATGTCGCGCGCAGCCGTCGCTTGCGACAACTTGATCTCCCAAGGGTCTCGCAGGCTATACAGTCGCTTCGCATCGCGGGCGTTCCTCGTCGCCTGTTCCATCTCTATCTCGTATCCGCGTGTGTTATATTCGGAGAGAAACCCAGAGAACATCTGGGACGTCTTGTCCCAGGTAGCATGCGGGATGATGAGACGGTTCTTGAAGAGGTGGGTGATCCTACGTATTCCAGCCTCGGTAGCCGCTGGTTTCAGAAGCTCCATTTCCAGAGACACCCAACGATTCCAGAGCTCATGGCTGTCAGACAGTCGATACTGAACGGCCTCGTAAGCTCTCTGCCAAAGCTTTAGAGCGGCGTCGAGCGTGAAGATGTCACGGCCCATCATCTGCTCGTCGACGGGCCACCCAGCACCGCTACCGGCCTGGCAGTCGGTGCGCAGCGACCAAAAGTATTCGCAGTAGGCCAGCCATATTTTCAAGCTACCGGGCTCGGCCAACACGGCACTCTGAAAGGTCTCGACAATGTGCACCTTGTCTTCGAGGTTGCCTGCCTCGCGTAACCGCTGGTCGACAAAGTCAAGCCAGTTATCCTCCCCCACCGGGCTCGCCATGTTCGCTGGGTTGGTCTCAGGAAGGTCGAGTCATCGGATGTTGGTTGTGTTGTGGGCGCCGTTTGCGACTTTGTTTGGGAATCGGTGATGCGGTGCGGTGTGGTTTCGGTTTCGGTGCAGTTTTTGAAAAATGCGGCTTTGATGCGACGGTGTTGAAGAAAGTCAACTGCCAGAAAGATGCACGGTGGGAAATACAAAATCCGCCGGCTCAATCGGCTTCCAAAGTCTCAGCGTTCTGGGCCCTGTGAAGCGAGAGGTGGGGTCGCTCAAAATACAGTGCCAGGCTGCCAGTGGCCCAGCTGTGCGAGCTTATCGCGCCTTCTCAATGCTGCCTTCTGGAAACTTTTTGCACGGCCCGGGGTGACTTGAACAGATCTCATAGGCCCGAATGGCTTTCACGCAGGTTACAGAATGTAAAATCAACAAGTCTAATACCCAATTTCCCCGAGACATGACGCTAAAATCTGAGATCTGGTAAACCTACAGAAAAGAGGGTTCTCATCTCACAGTTGATCACGATTACACACTGTATTTTTTGGGCCTCCATCCCGCCAAGACAAAATTTACAGGCATCCAGATGTTGGGCCCCCGACGGAACAACCTCCACGAATAACAGCCCTAGACGGGAGCCCTGAGACGAGCAGCAGGTCATCTAGGAATCACCCTTTTTAGAAGGCTGTTTTTTGTAAACCGGGAGAAACAGAAACGAAGGGGGGAAAGAGAGTCAGAAATGTCTTTGTTCCCAAACGGAGTGAGACCAACGGCAAAGTGGTGTCAGTCACCTGGCGATCTCATCCTTGCGGTATCGACGTAGCCCCGGACCCTTTTATGCGACTCTTTGGACATTGCTAATGGTTGAATGGCAGCCCCTCAGCCGGCGTCCCTATTCCGCTGCGGAACTTCCGCAGCACGCGCAGGTTGGTGCACCCCAAAAAAAAACCTGGAAGTCCAGCCATGAGAAGGTCGGCGATGAGTTCTTGGGGGGGTCCGCTGATCCTGTCGATCTC